TCACGAAAGCTTTAAATCAAAATCTCAACTGTCTTTAGAGTATTTAGCTCTAAGTTGTTCTGGCTACACCAGGTTACCAAGTTGTCAGCTTCCCACCTATAGTCAGACTCATCCCCACCAGAGGTCAGCCCAATGAGGGTGGTGTCGTCCGCAAACTTCAAGAGTTTGACGGACAGATGATTGGAGGTGCAGCTGTTGGTGTACAGGGAGAAGAGCAGTGGGGAAAGGACGCAGCCCTGAGAAGTTCCGGTGCTGATGGACCTGGAGTCAGATATTTGTGTTCCCAGCTTAACGCACTGCTTCCTGTCAGACAGGAAGGCTGTGATCCACCTGCAGGTGGAGTCGGGCACGTTCAGCTGGAAGAGCTTGTCCTGAAGCAGGGCAGGGATGATGGTGTTGAAGGCAGAGCTGAAGTCCACAAACAGGATCCTGGCGTAGGATGCTGGTGAGTCCAGATGCTGTAGGGTGAAGTGGAGGGCCATGTTAACTGCGTCATCCACAGACCTGTTGGCTCTGTAGGCAAACTGAAGGGGGTCCAGGAGAGGGTATGTGATGGCTTTGAGGTGTGTCAGAACCAGGTGCTCAAGAGACTTCATTACCACAGAGGTAAGGGCGACCGGTCTATAATCATTTAGTCCTGTTGGCCTTAGCTTTTTGGGCACAGGGATGATGGTGGAGGACTTGAGACAGGCTGGTACATGGCATGTCTCCAGGGAGGTGTTAAAGATGTTGGTGAACACCAGAGACAGCTGTTCAGCGCAGTGCCTGAGGGTGGCTGGAGAGACAGAGTCCGGCCAGCTGCTTTGCGTGGGCTGTGCCTCTTGAAAAGTCTATTAACTTCTCCCTCCTGAAAGGAGAGAGTCATCTCTTTAGTAGGGGTGGGGGATTGGGCCTCTTGGGTGGGAAGGGGTAGTTTAGGACAGTCCAATTGTCTTTAAAATCTGCAGTAGAACTCGTTCAGGCCGTTGGCCAGGCGGGAGTCGTTAGTGGTGTGGGGGGCTCTGGGCTTGTAGTTGGTGATCTGCCTGAGCCCTCTCCAGACAGAAGCAGAGTCGTTAGCAGAGAACTGGTGTTTTAGTCTCTCTGACTGAGTACAGTCATTTTGCCTCTCTCACCGCCTTGCTAAACCTGTTCTTTGACTCCTTGAATCTGTCTCTATCCCCACTCCTAAACGCTTCCTCCTCCAACCTCAACCTTCTGAGCTTTGCTGAGAACCAGGGCTTGTTGTTGTTGAAGGTCACCCTGGTACGTGTTGGAATACAGCAGTCCTCACAGAAGCTGATGTATGACGTCACAGCCTCTGTGAGTTAATCCAGACTATTGGTAGCAGTCGTGAACATATCCCAGTCAGTACAGTCCAAGCACGCCGACAAATCCTCCACAGCCTCACTGGTCCACTGTTTAGATGTCCTCACAGCAGGTTTACAGAGCTTCAGTTTCTGCCTGTATGCAGGAATCAGGTGGATCATGGCATTGTCAGAGTGTCCCGGTGCTGCTCGGGGGACGGCGTGGTAGGCTCTACTGACTGTAGTGTAGCAGTGATCCAGAGTGTTCCCTTCTCTGGTAGGGCATTTAATAAATTGTATGTATTTGGGGAGTTCGTGGCTGAGATTACCTTTGTTAAAGTCGCCAAGTACGATAACCAGCGAATCTGGATTTGCTCGCTCCACACTCAGAATCTGGTCGGCGAGCATGCGTTGGGCCTCTTTAACCTGAGGACCCGGCGGCAAGTAAACTCCGACCAAAATAAGCGATGCGAGGCGAGTAGAAAGGTTAACAGTTTATAAAAAAATGATTCAAGGAGCGGAGAACAATGTTGCAGAATCACTGTGACATCTACACACCAGCCACTGTTAATGTAAAAACAAATACCACCTTTCGTCTTGCCGGAGAGTGCTATGTCACGATCCGATCTTACAAGATGGAATCCTGCCGGTTGTAGCGCAGTGTACGGAATCAAATCACACAGCCATGTCTCCGTGAAGCTCAAAACAGAAGGTGAAAGAAAGTCTCTGTTTTTCACCATCAGTATCTGAAGTTCGTCCATTTTGTTGCACAGTGACCGTACGTTGGAGAGGAAAAAGCTCGGAAGCACTGTTCGGATCCCGCGTCTGCGTAGCCGTACGAGAGCCCCCGACCGTTTACCCCTTGGGCGGCGTTTCGCTGCTTGAGCAAAGCGTAGCGCGGCTTTGACTAGAATGCCCACTAATTCTGCCGCTGGAAGCAGAAAAGTGGGAAATAAATCCACAGGAGTTGTTTCCCTGATGTTTAAAAGTTCGTCTCTCGTTAGGGAACTCCGAAAATCTTGGCAAAACACTGAATTAACAGACAAAACAGGGCGCACCGACCGGCTGAAGCTACCATCATCGGCGCCATCTTCTCACCAGCATGAGTGTGCTGAACAGCAGGCCCCTCTCACCAGCACAGGTGTGCTGAACAGCAGGCCTCTCTCACCAGCACTGGTGTGATGAACAGTAGGCCCCTCTCACCAGCACAGGTGTGCTGAACAGCAGGCCCCTCTCACCAACACGTTTGTGCTGAACAGCAGGCCCCTCTCACCAGCACAGGTGTGCTGAACAGCAGGCCCCTCTCACCAACATGTTTGTGCTGAACAGCAGGCCCCTCTCACCAGCACGGGTGTGCTGAACAGCAGGCCCCTCTCACCAGCACAGGGGTGCTGAACAGCAGGCCCCTCTCACCAACACGTTTGTGCTGAACAGCAGGCCCCTCTCACCAGCACGGGTGTGCTGAACAGCAGGCCCCTCTCACCAACACGTTTGTGCTGAACAGCAGGCCCCTCTCACCAGCACGGGTGTGCTGAACAGCAGGCCCCTCTCACCAGCACAGGTGTGCTGAACAGCAGGCCCCTCTCACCAACACGTTTGTGCTGAACAGCAGGCCCCTCTCACCAGCACGGGTGTGCTGAACAGCAGGCCCCTCTCACCAGCACAGATGTGCTGAACAGCAGGCCTCTCTCACCAGCACGTGTGTGTTGAACAGCAAGCCCCTCTCACCAGCACAGGTGTGTTGAACAGCAGGCTTCTCTCACTAGCACTGGTGTGCTGAACAGCAGTCCCCTCTCACCAGCACGGGTGTGCTGAACAGCAGGCCTCTCACCAGCACGAGTGTGCTGAACAGCAGGCCTCTCTCGCCAGCATGGGTGTGCTGAACAGCAGGCCTCTCTCACCACCACGGGTGTGCTGAACAGCAGGGCCCTCTCACCAGCACGGGTGTGCTGAACAGCAGGCCCCTCTCACCAGCACGGGTGTGCTGAACAGCAGGCTTGTCTCACCAGCACACTCTCCATGAATAATCAGGAGCTCCAATACCTGGTTAATGTGTTCATGACCAGCTCTGGTTTGGCAGCCAAAGTCTCACGTAAAATTAGTCAAGCAGCATTATTTAATTAGACTGTAACACTGTGGATGGTGCCTGGACTTTTGCTCCATACAAAGCTGTGAGTGTCAATCGCCAAGGTCTACTCCATATGAGACCAATTTAAGGCCACTTACATGGCATTAGCACTGTGATAACGTTACTTCCAATTCATAATGAATGGTGGATGTTTTGCTTATATAATATGTGAATAATCCATGTGAAATATATGTGCATGTAAGAGTTTGTGGGGAGCGGTGGTCCAGTTATTTCACTGCATTATGACCTCAACAATTAGAGTTTGATTTTCGCCGACAGGATACATGATTGATAAGTGAAAGCTGAACTAATTGTGGGCCTCTGATATGTTTATTGATCTTAAATTAAGTACATGGTGAAGTGAGGAATCATTAATACTGAGCACTGAACTGCAAATACAAACTTGACACTGTCACACACTGGCATGGTAAAAAGGTGGTGAGGTGTCCAGAACCATGCTTGGCCACATTCATTGCTCAGTATTAATCTTGATTTGAAGCTTTTGTGACTGCAGGAATCCATACTCTTTGGTTCTTTCGGTAAAGTCACGTAGGTATAAAATAAATCATGACGTTTCGGACGCAACACAAGCAACCGTCATCAGGTGGGAACTTATGAAAATGGAAGCTCTGAGAGAGACACATATACAGAGAGAGACAAACAGAGAGACAAACAGAGATACACACGCTTAGACACAGAGAAACAACGCCTCTGTGATGAGGTATTATATATAGAGAGAGAGGGGGGTAGAGAAATTAGCATGTCAATGAGAGACAAGGGGGGGATGGGATCTGCGGCATGGGGAGATAAATTGGAAGCTTGAGAAATCAAACCTCGTAAACTTAGAAATGTAATACAATGCAACACAGAGAGTCGGCTAACACAACAGTTAACACTTTACCTGGTTGATTAGGTTCTTCCAAAGATTGATACATTTGAAGTTAAGTATGAGTTGTGTGGAAATCCTCCCCGTAGAGGTGGTTCAATCTTAATTTGAAGCTTTCGTGACTGGAGGAATTACTCTTTGGTTCTTTCAGTAAAGTCACGTAGAAAGAAAAAATAAAACAATGAATAGAACACGACGTTTCGATGCAACACAAGCAACCGTCATCAGGTGAGAACTGTATGTAAATGCAAGCTCGGAGGGAGACATACACACAGGGAGAGAGATAAACACAGACATGGAGAGAGACACATACAGAGAGAGAGACAACCAGAGAGAGAGACAACCAAACCTAGGTTTCCAAACAACTCATACTTAACTTGAAATTTAGCAATCTTTGGAAAAACGTAGTCAACCAGGTAAAGTGTTAACTGTTGTGTTAGCCGACTCTTGGTTGCATTGCATTACATTTCTAAGTTTACTAGGTTTGATTTCTCAAGCTTCCAATTTCTCTCCCCCTGCCGCAGATCCCATCATCCCCCCCTTGTCTCTCATTGACATACTAGTTTCTCTGCCCCAACCCCCCCCCCCCCTCTCTATATAATACCTCGTCACAGAGGCGTTGTTTCTCTGTGTGTCTCTGTGTGTGTGTCTCTCTGCGTGCGTCTCTATATGTGTCTCTCCTGTGTTTGTCTCTCTGGTTGTCTCTCTCTGTGGTTCTCTCTCTCTGTGTGTCTCTCTCCATGTCTGTTTGTCTCTCTCTATATGTCTCTCTCCAAGCTTGCATTTACATACAGTTCTCACCCGATGACGGTTGCTTATGTTGCAATCGAAACGTCGTGTTATATTATTTCTTTTATTTTTCATTTTATTTCTACGTGGCTTTACTGAAAGAGAACCAAAGTAATTCCTGCAGTCACTAAATCTTGAAATCAAAGATTGTATTCATTCCTCTCTGTCTCGATACTGACGTAGATGGTATGGAATATGTTTTTCTGTCTGCAGCTGACGCTTCCTCTGACACTTCCTCTGCAGAATTGGTCTGATGGAGCAAAGGCACTCAGCGCAGCTCGGTACAAAAAATAAACAATGCGACCAGTGTGCATACAGCACGAATCATACTGGAAATTTGAAACAGCACCAGAGAACACACACAGGAGAGAAACCCTTCAAGTGTAGTGTGTGTGGGAAGGAATTTTCAAGTTCACCGAATCTTAAAAAACACCAGAGAACACACACAGGAGAGAAACATTTCAAGTGCACTCTATGTGAGAAGGCATTTGCACAGTCATCAGGTCTTCAGATTCACCAGAGAACACACACAGGAGAGAAACCCTTCAAGTGCAGTGTGTGTGAGACGGCATTTGCAGAGTCATCAGATCTTAAGACACACCAGAGAACGCACACAGGAGAGAAACCCTTCAAGTGCACTGTCTGTGAGAAGGCATTTTCAAGTTCACCTTATTTAAAAAAACACCAGAGAACACACACGGGAGAAAAACTCTTCAGGTGTAGTGTGTGTGAGAAGGCATTTTCAGAGTCATCAGTTCTTAAGATCCACCAGAGAACACACACAGGAGAGAAACCAAACAAGTGCAGTGTGTGTGGGAAGGCATTTTCAAGTTCATTTTCTTTTAAAAGACACCAGAGAATACACACAGGAGATAACCCTTTCAAATGCACTGTCTGTGAGAAGGCATTTGCATGGGCATCAGGTCTTCAGATCCACCAGAGAACACACACAGGAGAGAAACCAAACAAGTGCAGTGTGTGTGGGAAGGCATTTTCAAGCTCATTTTCTTTTAAAAGACACCAGAGAACACACAGGCATCAGGAGATCCCCAAGGAGTGTAGTTTGAAATCGACTTGTGAAAGTCAAAGTGCTATAATGAGCCCATCTCTCCTGAAAAAAGAACCAGAAGTGAATTCCAGCTTGGACACTATGAAATGTATCAAGGTGAAATTTGAAGAGGTGACAGTGAAGAGCGAAGAAGTGAAGGTGAAATATGAAGATGAATATTCAACTCTAAAATCGGACCTTCACATCGATGGAGGCAACGTGAAGCAGGAGGAGAATTCTGACTGTGAGGCAGAGCGAGGCAACTCCCAGCAGTTTGTGGAAGTGGAGGTGTGGGTCGACTTCTTAGACAATACAAAGTCAAATGGAGACCCGGTAGATATGTAAGCTTGAGACAATGAAGCCCCAATAGATTCACCTTCGTCACAGGCCTTTAATGAAAAGAACGTGAAGTTGAACACTCCATTCCTAGGTTCAACCTGCAGAGTATGAGCGGGCCAGTATTTGCGGACTTGTGGGTTGGGTAGATCTCTAACTAGGAGCGAGAGCCAATAAGCTCCCAAGCATTCACTATGTTATAATAATATTCGCATTCATATAGTGCTTGCTTAATCACCTTATATCTAATCACAAACACTCGAAGAGAATGTTGTATATATGACTTTTCCAAAAATGTATATTGAGAGTGATTTTGACTTTTTGTAATAATTTTGATCGGGATGGAGCGCTGGGGCACGGAAAAGGTGAGTCCTCGCCGCTGCCTCCTGCCTTGCCACAAAAAAGACAGCTGGAGGATAATTACTCACAAGCCTGTTTGAGAAGTCATAAAATGTAATAAAAAACTGCAAACCCAAGGGGGGCTCATGAGATTTTGCAGGAAATCTCCAGTTGACTTCCAGAGAAGGCCGCCATAAAGGAAACAACCCACAATAAAACAAACATAAGACGGAAATAGCAGGGGTCACGAACCTCCCTTGGACAGCAAAATCCACCCAAGGGTTGTTAATAATTATGAACTGACGGGTTTTTTTTAAATACAACAGTAAAGTCGAAGCTTAGCTATATCTTCAACCTCAGGATATCAAAATATAACTTGAGAATAAGAAGCACGGATCCCTGGTGATACAGATGAACAAAGTTTAATAAAACCCTCGGAATATATTTGGTAACAACTATGGTATACCACAAATCTTGGCTAAGCATGAACCAATTAATAATTATGAAAGTATTACACCGAGAGTCATTCATAAGAGATACAATGCGAAATATGTCAACCACACACGCCCAAGATAATATGTATTCCATGGGATCAGAGCTTCACCAACCGCCTTTGTCTTCCAGTAGCTAACAGCACATGGTATCAGTAAATTATGTATGCAGTGGGGCGTCTCCCTCTAATATATGAAATACCACACAAGAATTCCAAACCGCGACGTGAGTGCTGTGAATGCTGTTCAAAACGTACTTGGAGTCACTTGCAGAGTCAACTGCGGAAAGTGGTACAGTACCAAGTGTTGTATATGGCCCTTTTTCCACAATTTATATCAATAAGAATATAGTCAACTGCGGAAAGTGGTACAGTACCAAGTGTTGTATATGGCCCTTTTTCCACAATTTATATCAATAAGAATATTTGCCGATATTTTTTAACAGAAATAATAAATGAAAACACGCAATACCAGAGCACAGCAAACCACAGATGGAAATCGTAAAAAGACCAATATAAAGGAAAATTCCAGACCCCCAGGACCCCCCCCCCCCCCCCCTTCGTCAGCGCAGACAAACTGACGCCAACAGCTAAAGCCATTTTCCCCTTCATTGCTATTAAAGTAACGTTAAAGTTCAAAATTCAACAACAGAAATAAGCTAAAATTATCGATCCTCACACTCCAATTAAAAAACCAGGCCACAAGCTACATCAATGAACCATTACCCATTTATTAATTCGATACTAAATGTCATTTTCACCTTTAATAATTTCTACACGACCTGACCGAAGCGTCAAAAATAATCCTGGCAGTCCGAGTTATGCCTAAGTCAAAGAGAATTCTCTAACCTCGGGACATCAAGAATAAAATAAAGTAAATGATGACATAACAGCACAGACCCAACCAGGTACAGACAGAGAGCAAGTTAATACAATGTTAAATCACAAATCCTGGGGAGCATTAACAATAATGATGATGCAGTATTAAACCCAGTGTTATACAGAAGGGATGAATCAAACGGTTCAAGCTTACGAAACCAGGATAAACTGTGTTCCAGAGAGCCTCCCGGCCGCCTTTGTCTTCCCGCAGCGCGAGAGAGCAAAGATAACACCAGAGACAAAGAATTATCGCAGGCCATCTGCACTCACGGGAGAGCTATGACTCAAGAAACAACACTTTCCCCCACCACATGCCAGACAAATGGCACACCCCCGTGTAAGCAGAGAGGGGGCGGGGGGGGGGGGAGAAATTCCTTAGAATGCGCAGCGTGCGTCAGGAAAACCTAGGCGAGCAAGTTTTAAGTTAAAGAAAAATAATATTAATACATAATATCACACCGAACGTCAATGCTAACGTGGTTCACCTTAAACTATATTCCGTTTATATAACCTTGCAAAACACCAAGGAGTACAAAATTCCAACAACCGAGAGGCTTATCTCTTGGCTCAGGATATCGGAAATAAAATGATATAAATGATAAAGCTTGCACACGGAATGACGAAAATTAATAAAAAAACTGAGGAAGAGCCAGGATAACGGGGTAAAACACAACCTTGTTAAACATTACACCAAGTGATATTTGAGCGACGTTAAACCGAGGGCTAGCCAGAGAGAGAGCCTCCCGGCCGTCTTTGTCTTCCCGCAGCACGTGATAAGAATATGCATACGCTCAAGAGAGCATCATATCCTCGTGAATATAAAAGCAGATACCTGGAGTCACAGACAGAATCCTAACTGCGAGTGGTATGGTACCAAAAACTATGATGGAATAAATGTTAACTTTAAAAACCTTAACCCTTCCTTTGTGCATCGGAAAATGTCATACAGGGGAGGAACTCGCCCCTCCCTCCAGATTGTGTAACGCAGACGGAAAGAGGAGGACAACGAACAGAACCATGCCATAAATGAGACACACACTGACACACATACGGACACACACTTAAGACCACGACACACAGATAAATCAAAAGGAGCTCCGCCCTTGTAAGGAGGAGCCAAGGGGAGAAATTTTGACATAAGAGTAGGATGCTCTAGCACTGAAAGCAACTCATCAGCCAGCGGACAAGCTCAGCGACCAGCGGACCAGCTCAACTCATCCCTGCAGAAGAAGGTCAACCATCAGAAGATCAATCACCACCGACGCAGAAGAAGTCTCTACACAACCGTGCCAGCGACCAGCAGACGAGGGCCATCTACCGGTCGTACAACCGTGCCCGCTACGAGCGAGCCGTGAGCCAGCCACCTAGCGATGGGCTACTACGCCGACGGCGCACAACCGCACCCGCTACGAGCGAGCTGTGAGCGCCCTCTACCGACAACGCTGCGCCTACAGCGCATCGTGCCAATCCGTCAACTAGTGTGGGCCGAACCGGCTGCTGGGAAAGGAGAATCAACCATGCGTATGACGCACTCTGCCCCGCACCACAGGACAAACCAGGCGTCTGCTTGACGCAAAGAATTAATTCCGGACATTGGACTACTCAACACAATCCATATCACTCAAAACATACACGAGTCATTAACAAAAGCCTAATCCTCAAGACGTGAACCATCAGTGGCTGTAAAAGCATCGCGACAGGCCAAGTGATAACCATCCGTCGTTATAAGTACAGTAATAATTTTTCCTCAATTTTTTTATTTTGGGTTGTACTTCTAATCGCATAAATTACCAACAGATCCATCAATACGAATTAATCCTTGACACCTTCGCCACGGAACTACGCTCACGGGGGGAATAGCGCATCCAACCGGTGTCCTTATCAGGCGATCTGGTCCACAATTTATTAAAAGTTGGCCCAAGTTAAGGATCTCAGGGGAGAGCACACACCCCATCGCACACCCTCACTCCAAGCCATTTCTGTAATCATATAATCTTGCTGATGGATCTATTGATATATTTGTGCCTTTGGGAATAATAACTGTTTTTATTGCCTTTTCGTATGAATATTGTCGCATAATTTTAAGGACCTTTCGTTCATAATTGCCGCACATGCTCGTGTTACACTGCATAAGAATTAATTGCTCTGATACCCAAAGTGAAACAACGTGATAAGAATTATCTTGAAGGTTGCTTATGGATCTATGAATGAATGCGGTACTGTGTGGGCAATTTTCAAGTATACGAATTTGCATATTATAAAGTTAAGGTTTTTGTTTAGAATAGCGTATGCATGTTTTAACGACTCTCTCTCACCAACTGAGCTCGCGTTACGTGGTGGAATGAATCACATGTGCCATCGTCGAAGTGAAACAACGCAATCATGGTTACTGTGTTGGTACTGTATGGATAATTCCAAGCCTAGAGTTGCATCTTCTAGAGTTCAAGTTTAGTTAGAAAATAAAATTGATTAACGCAGAAGTGGTTGCGTGTTCCTTTCCTGAAATTTAATGCATAAGAACTGTATTCTGCGTTGAGATCTGAATTTGGAGACCTGAACACACTAATACATAATCAGTAAATGTTAAAGCGAGAATAATTGTACTATACTGATCGATGATACGAAGTTAAACAACGAAGCCGAGTTGACTCTGGCATGCTCACAGCACCTGCATAACTGCATACGATTAATTGTCTTATCCCGATTGGATAATCCGACCCTCGTCAGCGAGGCGGGGCCTAATTATCATAACGTCTCGCATTAGCATGAGCAAACACACTTACATAAACAAATACGATTATCTCTTGCATTAGTATAATTTATGCGCACAATTACATCAATTAACATAATTACGCAATTTCCAAATTTCATTTAATTTTTATTATTTTCATCAAAATTTCATAACCGACATATACAACACAAGCTATAAGTGGTGTGAAAGAAAAATAAAATTGCTTCCAACTCGTGATGAGAGAACGGAATACATGGTGACAGCAAGCACACCCGTGCACAATAGAACACTACTTCAAAGGCCACAGTGCAAGTCTGATGCGAAAAAAATGTAACACTTCCAACCTGTGATGGGAGCGTGGGGAACACTGCCCAAAACGTTAACAGAAACATGGTGGTAGTAAAGACATCCGGACAACAAACAGCCCAAGCAACTTCAAAAGGAAAACAGCTGCCCCTTTATGAGAAGAAAGAGCCTGAGGTGGAA